CTCTCTCTCTCTCCCTCACTCTCTCCCTCTCTCTCGCACACTCTCCTTCACTCTCTCCCTCTCTCTCTCTCTCACACTCTCTTTCTCTCTCGCTCTCACCCTCTCTCTCACGATGCATGGCATTCCCTCGCCGGCGCACGCGCGCGGTTACGCATAGTCATTAAAATATTAATATGATACACATACTAGCGGTTATGCACTGTAGCCGCGCTTCTAAAAATAAACGCACCACGCCGATGTGGCGCATTTCACCCGTGATTTCGCATACCGCACAGTCCAGATACAATTGTCAAAAAGTGTCACCCGATATTACACATTTGCCGTGCGTGGATCTTAATAACTAATCTGTCAGACCTAATATCGGAATTAGGCGATTATTTACGCATTACTATTACACACGCACGCACACATTCTTAAAATTACAGGCGAACGATTCAGTTAATTTGATTATATATTGGCCAGTTATATATTAATTAATAGCATTATTATTTGTAGTATCAAACCAATACACCCTTTGGTTAACACATATGAAATGCCACGTACACGCTAGCTCGCGCTCATATGCCTGGCAAGAACGGCAAATACTTAATGACAGATTGCAATCGCCCATGCTAACTAAGGGCAGTCAGCAGCATGACCATGAAGAGGCTGCTGCTGACGTCATCGCGGCGAGCAGACGATAGATAACACCATGAATAAATAACTAGGGAGTTTACTCAGTTTAGCTCGTCTCATGGGGTTGACAAGTAGCGTGCTTGCTTCACTCAGGGCAGAAAATAGATCAGACGGGAATCGGGGAACTGTGTTTGCGTACTATATCGTAGTCCCGTGACATTTGTGATATTAAGCATGAAGAAACCCACGAACGCACTTAGCTATACTACATATACAGCTGCATGCATCTGATTAACCGCATACCGATGCTTGTCAATTAGGGCACGTTACGTAAAGTGCTAGCTACTTAATTTCTCAAATGTAAATGGATCACGATGGATAAAGACGATGGATCACGTTTGAAAGCACTTCTTTAGTTGACTTTGGTATGAGGAGTCTATGCTATTATTGTTATTATTATTATTATTATTATTATTATTTCGAAAGTGGATGACGGCATTAGCCGGTGGCTTCTGGATTGACCGTGTCCCAACCTGGGACATAGGGATTCAATCCAGAATTTCTCGCAGGATGTGTGCTGTTCCCAGTAGTGCGATTTTCTGCACTTCTTGGGCAGTGTGCTTCTTCTCAAAACCATTCTTCATAGAGCCAAAGGTTCCAACCACCACTGGTACAATTCTCGTCTTAGTATTCCACATCCTCCTAATTTCGATCTCCAGATCTTTGTACTTGGTGAGTTTGTCTCTTTCCTTCACCATGATGTTAGAATCATCTGGTACGGCTACGTCAATCAACAGGCATAGTTTTTCTTTCCTGTTGCGGAGACCTATATCTTATTATTATTATTATAT